GGGTGGGCGGGGCCGGCGTGGTTCAGGCCCTACCGTCTCACCGGGGTCCACTCTGAGCTTCAGTCTCCCCTACTCGGTCGGTGAGGGTGTACCGGGGACAGCATCCCCTCGCTGGGACAGAGCGCACCCTCCGGCTGCGGCCTTCGAGAGCCTGGGGGCTCCTCCTGCAGCGCCCCTCAGACCACGGGAGTGAGTGACCCACCCGCTCAGAAGCCCGCATCCAGCAGGAGACTAATAAATGCCACTGTCCTTCGCTGGCCGCCCTCACCCCTCACCCCAGCCACCTCGGCCTGGCCTGGGGACTGACCAGCCTGTTCGCGTGTCCCCCCAGGGAGACTCAGGCGGCCCTCTGATCTGCGGCGGCGTCCTGCAGGGCGTGGACTCCTTCGTGATCCGCGGGTGTGCCACGCGCCAGTTCCCCGACTTCTTCGCGCGCGTGTCGCTGTACATGGATTGGATAAACTCAGTGCTGGGCAGAGCCGAGCCCTGGCCCCCTGCAGGCGGCTCCCGGCCCTAACGGGGACTTTGAACAGGGAGGACCTCCCGGGAGGACGCCCTCCCTCTCGCGTCCCCGAGGGTTCAGCGCGGTCCCCTGTCCGTACAGTCAATAAAGGTCGGACCCCCCCGTTCCTGTCAGTCCTTTCTTTCCTTCCTCGTGGGACACAGGGCGCTGCCCAGCCCCACGTTCCAGGGCCCCGAGCCCCACACTCCGGACGGGGTGGAGCGGAGGTCTCACTCCTGACGCCCGCAGATGTGCTGTGCGGCCCTAGAGGAGCTGCTTCTCAACTCTGTGCCCTGATCGGCGTCCACATCTGGACAACGGGGTCGCGCTGATTATCCTAGAACTGACCACAGAACCCCACCCTGGCCTGCAGAGCTCGACTCTGTGTCCCCCCACCCCGCTCCGGCGGTCATGGGACGTCCCAGGGGACCTTAGGCTCCTGGTCCAGCTTGATCAGGCGGGTGGGCTTCCCGGAGGCGTCGCCAGGGTCCGCGCGAATAGGTTCAGGAGAGCTGCCCGGCTGGCTTTTCTGTGGAAGGCGGCTCCTTCCAGGCTGGCTCCTCTGCCGCCACCTGGTGGCAGCGGTACCAATTGAAGCGGGAGCAAGCACGCCCGCGGTAGCCCGCTTGCTAGTCCAAGAAAGTCTTTGAAACCTGGTGGTCCACGCCCAGCACTCAGGGACTGAGGCAGGAGGATCGTACAGAGTTCGAGGCCAGCCTGGGTTGCATAGTGAGTTCAGAACCAGCCTGAACTACAAAGGAGACCCTGCCTCAAAAAAAAAATACAAAAAACAAAAAACAAAAAAAACAAAAGCAGATAAGAACAGGCGATTTAGCTCAGCGGAACCGTGCCTGCCTAACAAGTGCAAGGTCTCGAGTTTGATTCCCGGTACCGGAAAAAGTAAACAAATAAATAAATAAAAATCTCAACTGACCACACAGGAGGGAAGCTGTGATTTTTTTTTTTTTTTTGAGAAAGAAGACAGCTTTCTTTATGGTCCATTTCCAGAGCCACAGAGCCCTGTCCTTTGTAAAGCACGAGCAATACACGTTTCTGTTATCACCTACTACTCTGTTGCAAGTCCGATTCACAAGTGAAGCCATTCAATATGTATATTTACAAGAGTTTGAGGGGACTACCGCCTGGCTATGAGCACAAGGCACGTATAACTATAATACATGAAATAAAAACCTCTCTAAAGACAAAGTATTTCTGTACATCTATCGGTTGAAATATCTATCAAGCACTGTAAGAGGAATACAGACATGCAAAATCTCTCACTAGCACTTCAAATATACATGGTAATATTTCTCTGGGCAAAATTTTACAATACACTAATACAGTTTACACAGTGTATCAAAGGAATCTCTGATGTGCCTATGAATCTATTGTTACATTTTAAGTAACTCCCTGACACTCTCCAGTTGCTATGAGGACTATGGGGGAGGCAAATCTATAAAAAATAGCAGCTGTCCAACTTCTAATTCATGGGAGACTTGGTGCCGGAGGAGGACTCGTCCCCCATGGTCCCATCATGGGTTCCCCGGCTCTGGGGAGGAGGCTGAGGTGATTCTGTTTTATTGCTCCCCTGGCCACAGTCAACCCCGAGGTTGAAGTCCACAGGGCTCCAGGGTCCCAGAATGAGGGTGCGATCTCGGCCCCACCCCCAGAGTGCAGGTCCCAGTCCATGCCGCGGATGAACTGGTAGCACAGCTTGTAGATCTGGGAGATCTTGCCGAAAGTCATGCCGCAGAGGAAGAAGGGGCGGTGTAGTTTAGGCTCTTGGCTGTCCTCCTCCGTGTGATGGGCCAGGTAGAGCGCCGGGAAGAAGCGGATCCTCTGGTACGGCCAGGGGAAGAGGCCGGCCCAGCTGAAGCAGGCGATGACCATGGCCAGGAGGTTCTTGTCGGAGACCTTCAGGTTTATGTCCCAGGCCAGAGATCCCTTGATGGCAGGGTCCTCGATCAGCCTGGTGATGGCCTTTTGGTGCTGAGGCAGCACCGAGGACAGGTGCTTCCCCTTCATCTCCCTCCTGAGGGCACAAGGCCTCTCCACAACACCTGTGTGTGTCAAAGGCACAGGGCCCAGTGGTCGCGACGGTACCTGTTGCTTTTTTTCCCAACAGGCACAGATACTCCCTCCATCTCTTGCGAGGTGGGAGCCTGATGTGTTCCCTGGGAGCTAAGTCCATGCCCTGGGGACATCGCCCCTCTCACCCTCCTCAGTCTCTGGTGACCACTCCCTCTTCCACTGATGGCCACGGGCCTGAGGCGAGAGGCTGGGGTTCCCTCTCAGGGCTGGGTCAGAGCTAACCTGGGGACTCTCCTCCTGTTCCATCTCTGATTCTGAATGTTCAGGTGAGGCATCCTTCCGCTTCAGGCAGGAAGTAGGGTGCTAGCCTACGGACTCTGTTGAAGAGACCCCGCAGCTCCTCCTGCAGTGCCTCCTCATACTCTGAAGAGCAATCTCTCTTCCTTTTCTGAACACAGACCTGAGGCAGGAGGTGGGGTGCTAGCCAGGCGCCTTTGAGCCCAGGAAACTTTATTTTTTTGGTACTGGGGATCGAACTTGGGCTCTGTGCACTTGCAAGGCAGGTGCCAGAACCACTGAACTAAATCCCTGGCCCTACCAGGAGATTTCTTGAGAGGGCCAGGCACGGTGGTACACGCCTGTAGTCCCAGCACTTGGGAGGCAGAAGCAGGAAGATGTAAGGCTGAAACATCTCCACCGGAAGCCAGGAGACAACCTCAAAGGTGAAGGTGAAGACTGGCGCTTTTCAGAAGGACAGAAGCAAGCCTGACTCTTTTCCTTTTATACCATTCTGGATCCAGTCCTGCCTAGGGTGGAGCCGTATAGCTCTTTCTGTGGCTGTGAGGAATTACTGAAGACAGAAGACCCACCCTGGGGCCAGGTGTGTGGGCACACGCCTGTCATCCCAGCACTCAGGAGGTTGAGGCAGGAGGATCGCCTCAAGTTCAAGGCCAGCCAGCCTGAGTTCAAGATCAAATGTTTTGTTGTTGTTGTTTTGAGACAGGGTCTCACTACGTAATTGAGACTGACCTGGAACTCACTATGTAGCCCAGGGTGGTCTCGAAGTCACAGCGATCCTCCTGCCTCAGGCTCCCGAGGGCTGGGATTATAGGCATGCGCCACCACACCCAGCAAAATCAAATGTTTAAAAAGAGGAAGAAGAAGAAGAAGAAGAAGAAGAAGAAGGAGAAGGAGGAGGAGGAGGAAGAAGAAGAGGAAGAGGAAGAGGAAGAAGAGGAAGAGGAAGAGGAGGAAGAAGATTGCTAGGAATCAGGAAGAAACTGAAAGGCATATTAGAAACTACAGAAAATTGGAGAAGTGTACCACAAAGCAGAGAAAAGAACAAAGCAGTCCGTTAACAAATTGAG